GAACAAAACGAGGGGAATTATTTTCCTCCATCTAAAAACAAGAGGAAATATATTTTGGTTTCTCTCTTTAAAGTAGAGGAAAACAGAAGAAACATTTTTATGCTCAATTACTCTTGATTGGTAAAAGATCAGTTGAACATAGAAGAAAAATAAATATTTTCCTCTAATGGTGTATATCAGATAATGCAAATTATATATATTGATTGTGTATTTGTGTGGTAGATAGCTGCAAAATAAAACGTTATATATATGTTTTTTATGTTACTTAATTTCTTTGAAAGTAATAAACTTGAAATGTTTTTGTCTCAATATGAAATATTAGGATTTTGATTTTAGAATGGACATCGTTATATATAGCAAATACATAATCATTTGATAAAAAAGAACCGTTTGACAAAATAAAAAGTTAATAACAGATTAGTACAATACCAAAAACTTTACAAATGAAAATTATCAATATTTGACTAAAGTATGTAGTTTAGTGGTTGTGCTTTTATCATCGATATATGACCACCTATATTTTAATTTGCTGAAAAGAAACAAAAGATTTATTATATCTGCAATGATATATCCAGGTTGAGGTATACTTGCAATACGTAGAAAAAAACTTGCTCCGATTTTCGATTAAACAACTTAAACCCTTGAGCATGCGGAGCTAATGGTGGAACTACTTTTCATTTATAAATGTGGTCCATATATATATATGCATGCTGTGTAAATTCCATGACATAATTATTCATTAAAGATAAATATTCATATGATTCTTCCAAAGGTTGATTATGATATTCCATGACTACTTTTTCACAAAAACAAATTAAGATTCGTGTGGGGGATATGCTTGTCTCTCGAATATAATAATTGTGGTGAAGCACCACAATATTAGACTTGCATGACCTTTGGGGTCGAACAAAGGATACGTACCAAATAAAACCAAATCCTCGTTCTATTAATATATACTTTAAATTTTATTTTAAGAAAACACTTTATCCAACTCTTTTGTCATATATGTACTCTATCTAATTAACTACTGAATAGTCGAAGGGCGGTTTACTCAGGTTACATACACATTGAGTTTTAATTAGAGATTAGTTTATTGGATATTGGGTTATTGGTATATATATATATAAAATTATATTTTCGTTGTTGATAAATGTTGAGATAAAATGTTTAGGACCACGGTCCACTTTGCATATATGTGGTTTCAGCTGTATTCTTTAGTTATAAAGAAGATCATATTCTCAAGTTGCAACTTTAGGAACATCACATCATTCTTGTTAATAGCAGATTATATAGCACCCACTGGGATTAATATATTTTACACCTTTTTCATTAGTTCTAATTTTTTTTTTGTTTTTTGTGTCGGCTGAAATGTTCTTTAATCAACAACTTGATAAGACTATTAGACTAGTTGAACATGAAAAGTTATGAACTGAAACTCCAAATATATATCTTAAATTTTAGTACTATTCTGCCCGTCCCACAATCACATTGGATCACGTCTCGTCTTGTTTGTTTCTACTCCAAACCTATAATGACAAATAATTTTTCCAGTTTCTTTTTTTTTTCTTTTTATAACTTTTTTCCAGTTTCTTTTCACAAAGATTGATCCCACATATTTATTTGGAAAAGTTACAGAAACTGCAAAGGTACAAATAAATCAAATTTCTCTATAAATTTAGACGATTTATTTCTGTATAGCCTGGAAAGCTAAAAAATTCATGTTGGTCACATGCGTGATAAAATAATAAGCAACAGTGAATTTTTATACTAAAAATATGTACAAGACAACGAAAATTTTAAATATCTTAAAATAACTCAAAAACAAAATATTCCAAAAAAAAAGACAAATGTTGAGATACTCTAATATATGTCTACTCCTTTCTGCCGTATTCCTCTATTGTCTGGCATACTTTTTGTACCACGTACTCCTACTTGATACAACTGTTGTACCATGGTACAACTTCGGCAGTAATATTTGATGCAACTGTTATACTATGGTACAACTGTAAAGATATGGTACAACTTGGTATTATTTGGTACAACTAAAAAAAAATACATGGTACAACAAGAGTATATATCTAGTCAACGGAAACTTTCCATACATTCTCTCAAACAATACAACAAACTTTAAGTTTAACAAAGTTTCTTAAAAATTTAGGAAGAACTAGTTAAGTCATCTATAAACCTAAAAGTCTATGGTATTTTGAAAATATAGATTTTTGGTACTGTTTTTAATATGAGAATTGATGTAAATTTGACTTTTGATAAAATAATTTTACTTTAAAATCTAATCATAGAAAAGGCTCATTGACGTAACAAAAAAATGAAAAAAAAAAAGGCTCATTGTTTTCGTTCATCGTACAAGGTCCATAATTTTACAAGACTCCATGACAATATAGATCATGAACAAATGTCCCTCAGGCCTTAACATTCATCTCTCTACACAAAGGCCCAATATTAATCATATTTACAACAATCTATGAATAATTTTGTTGTTCATGACTGTAAAAATACAGAGCATCACCATGAACACGATGAACAAGAACCACATACCATACTACAAATGCAAGAGCAGCTTATAAAACCTTCTTCTGAGTGTGCTTAACAGAGAAGAAGGCATAAACAGGAATGTTGACAAGTCCAAGAGAGACCAAAAGGCAGAAGAAGTAATCAAGATGTCCTTTATTAAGGTTGTCTGGAATCCAACCATCTTTACCACCAATTGTCGTAAAATACGCCACAAGTGTGAGGATCATCGAGCTCAGGTAGCTTCCGATTGCGCTAGTGAGAAGCGCCAGAGCACTGCATAAGCTTCTCATTCCATCTGGAGATTGCTCATAGAAAAACTCGAGCTGACCAATGAAGAAGAAAACCTCTGCCAATCCCATTAGCATGTATTGAGGGATCTGCCAAAATATGTTCATTACAACAGTGTCTCGAGCGAGCTGCAACCTCACAGTTTCAACTATAGCTGCAGTTGCAATGCTTAGAACAGAGAGAAAGAGACCGATTCCCATTCGCTGCAGATCAGTGAATCCTTTTGGTGTGCCTGTAAAACGTCTCATGAGGGGTACAATGAAACGGTCATAGATTGGGACTGATATGAGCACGGTAACTGTGTCAAAAACCCCGAGTGAGGCGGGAGGTATATCGAAAGAGCGGATGACCCGTTTCATGGACCGTCCTTGTTGCACGAATAGAGTGGAAATCTGTGAATACAGGGCCGAGTAGACGATCCCTGTGGCCCAAATTGGAAACATACGGATCAGAATCTTCACTTCTTCGACTTGAGTCACAGTACATAACTTCCACGGGTTGGAAAAAACACCGGACTTTGATTCGTCTTCTGAACTAACAGCGGCTTTGTCGAGACACCTGCATAGATATTAAAAACAAAGGTTTATCTTCCAATGAACATTTCCAAAAGCTCAATTCAAAATGAGAAATTCAAGGGGGACAAATATTTTCCTGTAACCGTCTGTGTGCTCAATCTTCCTGCTTCCTGAAATTACAGAGTTTCTATCTTGTGTTTCATACAGAAATTTGAAGTCTTCAGGGACGTTTAGATTCATTTTGCGGTATGCAGCTACAAGAACTTGGCATACTCTTGTAATGGGGCTGCCTCCCGGTTTCTGAAACCTATAAAGCGGAGTTCCAAAGAAGAAACTCGCGACAGAGAGTCCCATGAATACGGTGGGAATCAGAAAACCGAGACCCCATCCAGCATTCTCTTGAAGCCAAACTAGTAAAGTCGATGAGACAAACGAACCAATGTTGATGGAGAAGTAAAACCAGTTAAAGAAAGAAGCTTTTCTGACTCGTTCAATCGCGTCAGTATCATCAAACTGATCAGCACCAAAAGAAGAGACACATGGTTTAATTCCTCCAGTACCAAGCGCAATAAGGTAAAGCCCGGACAAGAAAACCGCATACTGAACCGTTGTTGCAGGTGGGCAAGGACCAACTCCAATGCATTCCGGTGGCTTTAAACCCGTAACTGAAGCCGAGAGTGTCAACGACGCCATTCCCTAAGTTTAAAAAACCAGATTAATTCTGCGCAATGACCGCAACAAATGCAAATTTACAAAGTCATTGATTGGTCTTACAACAAAGTAAATAGCAGAGAAAGAAGCAATAGTCCAGTATCTTCCCAAGTAAGAATCAGCTATTAAAGCTCCAATGAGAGGTGTGATATAGCAAGTTCCTTGCCAAATCATGACTTGCCTAGCTGCAGAAACATTGGACTCGTGCAATTCACTTGTGTAATAAGTGATTAGATTCTTTGCAATTCCATAGTAAGCTAATCTCTCACAGCATTCATTGCCTACACTAACCAAATTTGGAGGATCCCTTAAGTATTATTGAATTGAAATGAGAAAAAAAGAAGTGATTTTTTGTTTGTTTGTTACCAAGAATGAATGGACAAGCTTTCCAGTTTCCTGTTTTCTGTTTCAATGGTGGGTTTCCATGAATGTCTACTGAACCATCTTGAGCCGAAGAAGACAACACATTCTTCACTTCTTCCTGAGATATTCAGACACAATACTTTTGAATCAGACACAAAAGTTTGAATTTTTTTGAATCAAGACACAAAAGCTCGAAACTTTAACTGAAAAAAAATCATAGACTTTGAAATCTAGCGATGATCTTGGAATTTGAGAATTTGGTCAACACCTGTGTAAGAAGAGATTCTTCAATTTGAAGGAGTATACTTTCGTCTTGAACCGAAGCCATTTTTTAGTTTCGGTGATTAAGCTGATTAAACATTTTAACGAAGAGGCCATCAAATTTTCTGGAATTGGTCAAAGCTTTAATTATTTATTTGGATTACTCTCGGTGATGATGATGCGTCTTAATCAATTTTGGTTGTTGTTACATTTTGCAAAATATCTTACTCTATCTCTCTTTTGTCATTCTACA